AGTTTAGACGAACTTAAACTCCCTGTTAGCAAATAATCTTAGTTAACTTAACGACGAACCGTTTAAGCTAACAACATTTTACAATAACAGATAATATTTAGTTTTTTTAATAATAATTATATATTATTAATTGAATTTTTTAAATAAACATACAATTAAAGTATTTAACTTAAATATTAATGTGGTGTTTAAGAGTGTGAGAGAAAAAAGCAAAAAAAACTAGTGTTATATGTAGAGATGTTTATCAATGCGATATGATGATCGCGAATTTTCTGATTGGTTGTATCACGTGATCAGTTACTGTGATGCGGGCATGCGCTGCCAACCTGACATACATTTCAGACGTGCTATATTTATATATCTAATGAATAATAATGTAGAAGTCATATTTTTAAAAATATGTGTGTTGTGAATCTTTAAAGAAAAAATAGTCTTAATTATTTCCTTAAAATTATTTGCAAAATAATTCAATTTAGTATTAAGATTTTTGAAAAATTCCTTTTATCTGAAAAAAAATTTTTTATCAAAAAGTTTTTTTATAACCAATACTAATATATAAAGTTTATTATTTATTAATTGATATTTGATAAATGAAACAATTTTTTGTATTATTTATTTTAAAATAATTTTGTATGAAATAATTATCAAGGTTGGAATTATTTGTTCAATATTAATCAATTTAGATAAAAATGGCTAAATAATTTTAAAAAGAATCGAGTATATTCTACTTATGACATGAATTAAATTCAGTGAACTGAAAAACCTTTATTAATAAATTATTATTATACGTGTGTTAATAACGTTTTTAGCGTAGAATATAATTTTCGTGTGAGTTCGGTTCTGAGAAAATGATTTTTGTGGAATATAGTTAAATGCAAAAAGAACACAGCCTCCAATATAAATGGCTTGGCTTCACAGCCTTGCTTCGCTAAGCAATTCTAGATAATTACCGGTTTAGACTTCAGATTACCAGGTTGCTTACCTATAAAAAATGATGATCGTTTTCCATGTTTTTTCCGTGAAGGGCTCATTTTTACGGAAATTTTACGTAAGCCACGAGAAATATGCGGACGAAAATTTTTTATAGGGTTATAAAAAGTGAGAGAGAATACTAGTATTCTATTAGTAATTAAATACGCGGCCAAGTTATAATTAATTACTGCGCCTCTTATGCATTTTAATTAAACCAGCTTATATATTTTAGTTGAAAATTTTCGCGATTTATTATATCAATGCATTTATCCAAGTTATGTAATCTATAAAATTATTTCTATTATTTATGCATCTTCAAATCTCTCCAAACGTGTTGATTTTAGTTTTGTTAAATTATTAAACGATGTTATACCATCTTTTTCTCAATTACTAATTTGCTAGTTTATGAATTTATTTTTATTTGAATGTATAATGTCTAAAAATAAAAAAAATTACCGCGTTTGCAATGATATCTCAAACAAACAATTACAAATGTGCAAAAACCAATAATAACCAAATATGTTCAATACACAAAAAAAAAAATCTCTCCGGCAAGCCAGATTTGAAATAGCAAGCTAAAGATGAAGGAAAAGATTATTATAAAACTACTATCTCTCGCTCAAACAACTGAGCTATTCCGGTTTTGCTTAAATTTCTAGAGTGCAATGTAAAGGCATTGTACCTTCCGTTCGTTTTACAATTTAAGAACAAATTAATGTTGTACAAGACAAATTTGTTGAACAAATGAGTCGATTATTGCGATACTTATTTTAATCCTTGATAAGGTTATAAAAATCAGGTTGCGAGACATGATCATAAACATACATATTTATGAATTGTGTAGAATTTTTAATACTCGAATAATCTAACTTCAATTTTGAGATTTAATACGTCTTTTTATAATAATTATAAAAAAAGTGTATTTCTATTTTACATATTCTTTTAAATCTATCGAATTTATAAAAAATTTAGTAGCAATAAGAGAATACATTTCTAAAATTTAGTGATAATTTTTTTTTGCCTTCTCGGTTTATATTTATACATAGGATAAATTCTACCGTGTATATTATTTGCTAGATAAGATATTTTGATGAAAAAATCTTTTATATATGATGGTTACGATTCCCAGTATTGCGAAGCAATTTTTGAAATGTATGGTAAATTTTTTTCCTTCTTTTTTAATAAGTATTTTAGTTAAATTGCGACGATAAATTACAAAAATATTTTGGGGACGAGGAGTATGAATTAATGAATTTTGGTCGTATTAACTGTTCTATAGAACCGATAACACTTGTCTTGAATATTCATAATCAAAGAAATTTTGATATTTTATAATTTCTTCACGAATTATCTTTTCAACCACGGTCGGGTCAGGTTGATTATCCATTATAATTTGGATAAATTATGTTTTTATAATAAAATATAATCAGGAGTATCAAATATTTGTTTATTTTAGGAATAGACTATATAATGAATTGATTAAAATGGTACGAATTATATGTAAGTGTAACTATTAATTTTGTCAATATTTCTCGAAATAACGACAACCAAGTTTATATTATTTTCCAAACCAACGGTAATGACAGCAATAAATAAAAAAATTCATTTGTCGCGTGATTTATCATACAATATAAGATTACGTTGTATTATTTTATTTCTGTATTATTAAATAATTGAAATTATGTATTCTTTCTTCTCAAGAAATATTTTATTGATTTTAAAAGATATTAAAGGAAGTAAATTTATTATCCATAATAAGATTTATAAAGAAGCAAAAACTTTGTTCGAGTTACTTACAAAAACTGTGCTGTAATTTCTGCAAGAAAAATTACATTATTAAATCATCCACTATTTTATATCGATTTTGATACAAAGGAATTTAAAGACTTACAAATGAATGCAGTTTACTGCTTATTGAAATGAATGAAAAATTTTCTTTTACCTTATGTTTCTGAAGTTAATAAATTAGACTTTAATAATATTAGTTTACCTAAATGGAAAGAATACACAAATACTAATGAAATATTTTATAATTATGGTTTTGATTTAGATTTTGTAACTCCTGATGTCGCTTGTCAATTGTTTGAATTTGTTGATAAATGGGTTAAAATTAACGACGTAATTTATAATATGCAAAACTTTGACGACATTACATCTTTCGCTGTTCGTGATTCTTATTTAGTTGAATCAATATTAAAAAAAATTATTAAGGTTGATAGATTAAATAATAATAAAGTTAATTTATTAAAAAAAGAATATAAATTTAAATGGAAAAGGTACGGAGTTTCTAATTTATGTTTATATTTCAATCTTTACGATATGTAATATTTTCTTTAATAATAATATCGAATGTAATCACATGATTCATAATTTATAATCATTTCGGTTTTGTTTTGTTTTTGTTACGCAAGGTTTTTTTATTTCAAATTCTGCTTTTTCAAAATGAAAAATAAGTTTCAACACGTGATTTTTATTTGAGTTCACGTTTTTCTTCTACTTTATTTTTTTTTAAGTATTGTGGGTGGTTAATCTCCTTATTTTTTATAAGTTGGTGCTATTTTCTCCATATTTTTTAAAGCGGGTGTTGCTTTTTACTATTCCTCCTTCTTTTTTTAAAACGTGGGTGCGTGCTTTTTTTCTCCTCCTTCTTTATATTTAAAAGTGGGTGGTTCATTTTCTTTCCTCCTTCATTTTTATAATGTTGGTGCCTTTTTCTTTTTTTTTAAAAAATAAAGTGAATGCATATTTCTCCTTCTTTCAACTTATTTTCATTTTTAAAAAAGTGGGTGTTTCTTACTCTTTCTTTTTTTTAAAAAAAAAAGTGGGTCCTTTCCTACTCGATTAAATTTTTTTTTAAAAAAAATGTATTTCTTTTTTAAAAAGTGGGTTTTTTTTAATCAAATTGTTTATTTAAAAAATAAAATTTTTTTTTCTTCCTTTTTTTTTTTTTTTAATAAAGTGGGATTATGGTTGTATCTTAGCAGTACAGGTAATCAAAATTTTGATTCTTGCTAGAATGTTGTAAAATTTGTAAAATTGAAAAATTGTCCCTTTTCATTGGTAGGCAAGACTTATTAGGAATTAAAGATAAAGATCTTGAAAAATGGGCTAGAAATATATTTAATTTAAATTTAATCATATTTTAAAGATCTGCACAAAAGGTAATTATGATTTCTGAAAATATTTCGTATTTAAATATTAAAAATATTATTATTTTTTTCTAATTTCGTTATGCACATATACATTTCGATAATTTTGAGGATTGTTTGAAATTCCATAAATATACAAATAATGAACATTATCGTGGACCAAAAATAAGGAAATAAAATTTTTAAATCCAAGAAAATATAATTCGAAAACTAGTATAAATAAATTAAATTTGCCTGATTTAATAACATCATCAGCATCTACTTTGACAAAATCTACATTATTAACACCCTTAGTTGTTTTTATTCGACTTCAACAACTTCATCAAATTTTTTAACTTCGACAACAGAAACATTAGCACCATCAACCGATTTATATACTCTTTGACTTCAACAACATCATCAGATTTTTTACCATCAGCTACTTTATACTCTTTGACATCACCAGCATCAAAATCAACTACTTTAACAAACTAATACAACTTATTTGATGATAATAATACTTATTATGAAGTATTGTTTTTTTATCAAGATACCTATGAACCGATGACATTAATATAGATGTTAATGAAGATTGTATGAATATTACTATTTCTATTGAATTGAATAGTAATTTGGAAGATAGAATTGCTATAATAAATAACCTAGCTAACAAAATTAAAATAGATATATACTATTACCGTCAAAGTATATTATAATTTAATTTTTATTTTTTTGTTAATTATAGAATTGCTTTAAGCATTCCATTAATTGCTATTAAAAATGGAATTGTTTCCGTTAAGTTAAATAAATTATATTAAAAAATGGTGTATATCATTTGACATCATCGGACGAAACAACTTTTTAGACATAATAATAATAAAAAGGGCAAAGGGCGATATTACGCAAAACTTTATTAAATATAAGAAAATGAATACAAGATATATAAAAAATTAGATA